AATAATTGGGACACAGCAACTTTGACCTGTCCTTCCCTGCTAGGGATCACTGTAAATAAGTGAGAATTATGGAACATAGCAATGCTTTCTTCATGCCTTTATCTAGCTCCAGAAATTCAAATGAATGCAGTGTTGACTGCTTTCCCAGAGACTCATTACAATACAGTTAATATGGAAGCTTGGTCACAGCTTAGACTATAACTACTCCAATTTATTGCTCTCTGACAAGTGCAGTTGCAGCCCTTTTTGCCCTCTTAGGCTTCCTTTCAACACATTTTCTCCCATCCTTCCTATTACTTAATAGAAATCCTGCTTTATGCTTCTCATGCTTAGAATAAGATGGAAGTTGTATTGACACGTTCAACATGCCAGCCCTGGAAAACTCTAGTTCCTACATTTTCTCCCACTCTCACAAGTTCTATATCCTTTGGATAGAAACTGAATGATAAATGGCAGCTGTAAAGAACAATATTAATACACATGTAAGCAAGGTAAGGGAGAATAGTATAAATTGGAACATGTTTCAAGGGACAGGGAAAAATTAAGTAGCGGGATTAATTAGAAAAATCCATAAGCAGAACACATTGTAAAGTGACTAATCAAAAATGAGCTCATGGAAATTTAGTAAACATTTCAATTAAAAATAAAACAGTTCAGGTAGCTAGATATATGACCTAAGACTGTACACCTTCAATATCGACTGACTTATATAATGATTCATCTTTGTTAAAGTTAGATTGTACCACCATTCTCTTTTTGAAATAAAGCTACGGTAAGTGTTGATGACTAGGAAAGCAATAGAGATTGCTAATTAAATTCTTAGCATTTGCTATACAGTATTTCTCAGAATACCTTTGGGGAGAGCATGACAATAAAAATAACATAAGCAGATATTCTGTAGTGTGGATATAGCCATGGTTTGCTATGCCACTTGGCTTGAAACTTTAAACTCCCATTTTACTATGTAAAAACACATGGCTGGAATAACTGATTTACCTGTTATATCTCAACATTTTCCTTTGCTTTTGGGGCCAACAATCTATTTCTGAATAGAGAAAAAATGATTCCTCTAAATTTCTGAAAATTGTAATTAGGAGCAATTTATGGAGAATATGCTATGATTGCATTTATTCAATATGAATTATTCATGTAACAATATTACTTTGTTTCAATTTTCTACCAAACAATTAGGAGGGACACATGGAGAATTCCAGCAAAGTAAGCTAAAGATGCCCTTCCAGAGGGTTCAGCTTCAACATCCATCAGCACCAGCTAACAAATAAGATGTCATGGGAATCACAGATTCAAATATCCAACATGCCTAACATATTTTTATTCTACATAAATATTTGGTGTGTATGGTTACCATTCTTTTTTTACATTCCTCAGAAGCTGTCAACATTTTATATTGATGATATTCTCTTCAGGATATTAAATTACAATTATTTGAATCACCCTTCAGGAAATTAACATATGAAATGAGCTTTCTTAATAGAAGTCCCCTTCTGATACTGTAAAAAAGCTATGTGGAAGGCTAGAAATATCCCCGAGGAAAGTTGTGTATCCTTCCTCTTGACCAAACATATAAAGTGGAAAAGGAGCCTCAGAGAGGGGCTCCAGGAAAATCATGAGACGCAGGTTGGGTGAATTTATCTCTGCACAAATTAGTTCTTGCATATTTTGAGTAGGTGGGAAATCTGTGTGCCTTGGTCAATATGAGATCTACATCTTGCTGTAATAGCAGTTGCGCCATATACTTTCATAGTTATTATGGATTGAAACACCATTTGTAACACTACACCATATAGATCAGGAATGTTTAACTGCAAGCCTTAGACTTTGGGTTGCTGACCCAGAATCTTGCAAACGTTTATGCCAAATTGTATGCTTAATGTGTCAGAAAGGGAAATATTATGAATTGCTGTGAGTGACAACGTATGCCATTAATTCATTTAAATTATATTAAATATAAATTGTCCAACTGCCATTTAGGTCCTGCAGGGTAGGTTCCAGCATGCCATTCAAAAGTCAGGTCCAATCCTTGGCCAAAAAAAGGTTGCATGCTTCTGCTCTGCACCAACATTTCTAGGCCTCTCTCCTCTCCACCCCTGCATTCCAGTTAGGAAAGCAGCAGGCTGGGAGAAGAGGCAGTTCAGGCTTCCATCTGCTGCCATTTATCTGTCCTCAAAGCAGCAGTATCATTGGGCCACTCTGGGAATGCCCTCTGAGCAACATCTATTGAGGATGAGGAATGATGTTAACACTGCCAGGGAAAGCACATAGATGGATGGTGGAGAGCAGAGGAGTAGGCCTTAGGCAATGGGTCTTCTTGGGGCTGCCCTTGACAATTGTGCAGTATGGGAACATTGTGAAATTCAGACTATTATACTAATGTAACTAAGTACTACATTTACTGCAATGTTTTCTGAAAGAGTCAACATAGTAACCACAACAGCATATTGTCTAACAGTTAACCAATCTTTTGAATCCCTTTCTTCAATTTCTAGTAGCATATCCTAGGGGTAAAAAAACGGTTATGCTCAAATATCCATAAAATGCTTTCCCAATCTTTGAAGTTGGGCTAAGGACTCTTGTTCACTTGGTTAGACAAGTGTATTGTACTGCCTGTAAAACAAAGCACATAAAATAGCCTTTTTGTTACAGTGATAAAACTCCTTCAGGAACCAACACTTTATGTGTCACATATAATCGATCTCCCCCTCTCTCCCGCTCATCCTACTCCTTCCCGCACGATCTTTTACCTAGGGCTATGTATTGTATTTTGTATTCCTGTGTTATTGTAGCATTTTATTTATATAGTTTTATCAATTTAATATTGTAAGCCAACCAGTTACCCTGTGGTAAGATGGGTGGCCAATCAATCAAATAAACAAACAAATCTAAGGATATGAAAACATCTGTATTATAAATCTTGACCAAGATGAGTTGCCAGGCAACTAGAATTATTAAAGATTTCATGTCTTATTTTTAGAATTCTCAGTTCCAGATAATGCTGCTTTTAATGACTTAGGCAGCAATTCAAGTATTAATGATTGGAAAACTAGCTACAACACATGGTGATCTCTATATCTTATCTATCTGCAAGAGAGGTCAGGCAGAATTCGTGGTGAAGCAAAGGTCTTTGCATGCAAACTCTGTCCCTAATATTTTCAGTTTCAGAAGATTTAAGATCTAAGCCTGGGAAGGACACTTATGCTCCAAGATCCCAGCATGCCATTGCCAATTAAAATAGAGATGAGACTGTGTTTTGGTATTATCAGGTATACATCAGATAAATGTTCAATTTAGGGAGTAAATTGCACACATACACAATCGGAGAACATGACATTAGACAGTAGCCCAAACTATAATTGCCCTAATTATCCATATAGAATGATTTTAGCATAAAAGTTAAATCCTATAACCTATATGGCATATAGAAAATTTCCATATCTATTAATAACAGATTTTTTGAATTTACAATTCATACAGTGAAATGACCTCCCCCTCTTAAAAAAATGCTGCCTTGTCCCAATCAAAAATATATTAGTCATACCTAAATCTCTTCAATGGTTGAGTTTAATGGAATTGAAATGGGACAAAAAAATTGGATTCCTCTTTCCTTAAAATTCCTTATGTTTGTTTCAAAAGACATATATGTATTTTTAGGGCTGAGTCAACTGTGTGAAGCTACTCAGATAACAGAAATTTTAATTATCCCACCAATCTTACTAAAGTCTCAATGACTATTAAGATTTTAATGTTCTGATTATCATAATAATTCAGGTCAGGTCTCCACATAGTCAACATTGGGTTAAAAATAAGTTTAGCTAAATTATGTTTAAAACATAAGATATGCCAATGGTTGGTAATCAATAATTGTAGATTTATACTTAATAGGAAAGGTGCTGAACTTTTTTAGAATTATCACAGCTGCAGCTACGCACGACACATTTTTCTAAAAGAGAGCATTTCACATAAAGTAACACTGTCTCTTACTGATAGATAAATATAACTACAGGATACTGGCAGTCTAAAAAGAAAAAAAGTGCAGGATTTTTCTGTCTGTCTATTCAAGTAATATCACAATCTTACACCTGTCGTCAATACTATTAACTTCCACCCAACAGTTTTAATTTTAGTTCGTAATATGACAAAACTGTGCTTCAAAAAGAATTTTGTTCTGAGTTTTTTTTTATGGCTAATGGAGTATATTGAAACTTACCTGGCACATGCATGTACATATACGTCCACACTGCCAGTGCTAAATCCTTAAAACTCTCTATATAATCAACCAGTCAAAAATGATCAGCTCTATGCAATGGTCCTCCTAACAACACTGGCTAAGCATTCCACCTAGCAAAGAGTCCAGAACTAATTTCACATTTTTGCATTGAAGTTTCAGCATGATTACATTCCAGGGCAGAAGTGATTATTTCGAAAGCCCAATGTTTGTAGGAAAAAAACCAACAATGTCTCTTCATTTACAGCTTAAGCTGTCTAAAGCGACAAGTCACCACATAACATATCTTACCTTTCTATTAGTTTCTGGTTTTTCCATCAATCAAGCTTCACTTGTTTTCACATAACATATCATTTTTATACTATAGAGCTCAAATTTGCAATGGGGAAAAAAATGACATTTGTCACTTGTTTTACAGAGCCACTTCAGCAGGAAAAACTAACTAAGAAGCCCCATAACATAGTTCAGATCTGGGTTTGTTTGTTTTTTTGCTGAAGCAGCATTTTGGCTGCTTTAAAAACATGACTGTTTTTGTCCTTTTAACTGTCTGTTTTTGCATCAGAATACTTTTTCTTTTTACCATGTCTCACCATTCTAATCAAAACTGATTTCCTCCAGCATTTAATGCCCCAGCTGCCTGTCTTCCTCATTTGCTTCATAATAGTGATTTCCTCAGGAACAGAATTAGCTTCAGAAAAGTGTTGCTTTGCGAATACAGTTATCTCAAGTAAAAACATGTAGGAAGGAAGCTTCCAGATTTTTTTTTTTTTTTAGTATATAACACCAACATCATTGGCTTCTTAAAAATCTGAGTGAAAAAAGAACACATATCTTAAAAATCAAGCAATAATATATATTTTTGATTCCTGGATTCTTCTTAAGTCTTAACCATGTAGATTGGGTTTATGAATCTCAACGGAATCTTTGAAAGTCTGTAAAAGGCTGTAAAAATGTCTCTTTCTGTGTCTGTTGTTCCTTTCTCACCAAGCAACTTTTGGCCATGTTTAGCCAAAACAATAGGATGTGAAAAAAAAAATCCTCCAAATCATATATATATATTGTAGATCCCTTTGGAATGGAAGTGTTCAGTGTGAGATTAAGGACAAAATTAAAAGTAACTGGAGTACTTTGGGCAGTTAGCCTATCAGCTCCTGCATCAGGCAAGTAAGCTGGCAAACATGGTAATTTATTGGTTTGGAAAATAAGAGAACTATCACATGCCTACTCAAGAGACAGGACTGTTGTACAAAATTAAAACGGAGTAGGGCAAAATCTCTAGCATACTGACACCATCGCGTTGGCACTGCTAATGGTAATTCTGTCAACTCGGCAACCTCCAACAGCCGACCTTGTGCACATACTTCATCTGTTCAGAGACGTCATCCTCAGATATTGCCTCAGCTGAGCTTCACCTTTGCAGCCTGGCAGCCAGGCACAAGTTCTGGAAAAAGGCAGCTCTTCTTCAGACAAAGGACATCCATGGAAGGAGTACACAACAATAGGAATGAGAAACGGAAAAGGGAAAGGGAAAGAGAGCAAAGCAAGAAGAATGCAGATTCCCTTTCAGGTCTTGTTCTCGTCGTAGATGTCCAAGACAGGCTCGATCGAAGAGAAATCATTCTCGTAGACCAGGCTCCGAGGGGAGAGAGAATTATGGTGGAAAAAATGGCCACCTACAAAAGAAGCAATAATAAAAACTGTCAGAAACGAGGAGAGAAATAAAAAGGAATGTGATTAACAACGTGTTACCAATGCTTTGTTTTTATTCCGTGTAAAATCATCCTGGAACTATGCTGTATTTAATATTACTAGATACAAGAACTGGTGGAAAATCAGAAAACATTCAAACTGCATTTGGATATATTCACCTGGAAACACTGGAAAATACAGCTTATATGACAGTGATAGACATCAAGAAATCTTATAATATTGTCTGTTAAATATCTTTAAAAACAAATATGTTCATCACATTATAAGAAACCATTTTGGGTTGATCAAAATGAATAAGAAAGTGAATAAGTGAATAAGAAATTTCTTACATCAAGGCGGTATTATCCAATCTACCACAACATACTTTAACAAACATTAGTGTTAGATTAAAATATTTGTTTCATGTCTATTCTTCAAAAGATAATTAAAATAGTGTTTTTCCAACAATGGTATATAAAGGAGTCATACAATTCAAAACACCATTTTACCGGTAGTTACAAAATTTATTCACCAGCTCCTTTCTTTTTTCTTCTACTCTACAAATAGGTTAACTTTATAACTTTATAAAGGTGGTATTTGACTTGCCACCATATGATAGATTCTGGGAGAAACTAGTTGTTACATCAATCAATTGTTGTCTCCTTAAATTGATTACAGGATTGCACAACAGCAAGGGCATAAATTAAGGGAAATCTCAACGCTGATATAAGTGAACCTAACCCCACCCCCAAAACCAAAGGTATATTAACCAAGGATATATTCTTGTCCCTTGATTGTTTAATTTGTGTATTAACAATACTATTGAGCATTTTTGCCAAGCCAGAATTCCATCTTTCAACTTTTGCTCATTGATCCATTTTGTCATTCTTTATGCTGACAATATGGCCATCCTATCTCTGTCTCATGTGTGTAAATACATTAAAATTCTATTGTCTTATTGCTTTAGGGTGGTATCTTTTGTTTAAATGAATTATACTTATCAATATTTACCATGTTAAAAATTAAACATGATGTATTCATGTAATATGTATTGATGAATGTAAAAATAACAAAGTTAAAACACTTAGATATTTAAAAAAGTAAAATATTTTTCATGAAAAAATCCTGACTTTCTAACAAAAAAGAGAGAAGTTTTTGAAAATATCTTCAATATTAGGCAAATAATTTTGGTTTCATGGAACCCCTGAGAGAGTGTTGGGGGACACCCAGGAGCCTCCAAATCATACTATAAGAAAAATTGCGCTAAGGAAGATTTTGGTAGTCTCAAGGAAGCATTTTAAGGATTTAATTGCTTGTAAAATTACCCAGAGATTTATTAAGCAGGTCAAAACCTTTAAATACTTAGGTGTTTTTTTTCTTAAATCTTCTGCCTATTACACTAATTAAGAGAATGAGTTTAATCTAAGAGTTCAAACAGCAATGTTATTATTATTAAATACACATATGGTATTAACTCAGCCACAGCAATTAAACTGTTTAAAAGGTAAAGTTCTGTATGTGATATGATAGGTACAGTACTCAGATATGCCTCTAGAAGGATATATCAATCTTAGAAGCCATCCAATCAAAATTCCTAAAAGTTAACACATCCTTTTTTCAACTCTTCAACTCTTTTTCAACTCATATGGCTAGAACTGGGCTTCATCTGTTCTGGACTTATCTGAAATTTTATCATCTCAGATTCTGGTTGAAGTTAGTCCTTTTGGGAACTTCAAGTGTTCTTAAATTTTTATTTACTAATATTAATGATCTCCTGGGTTTAGCATCTTTCTGGATGGAAAGTTGAGCCCCAGGATAGTTTGCCTAGATTTACTTGCATATTTAATAGTGAATTTTCCTTGAGATCCCCTACCAAATGAAAAACAACAATTATATATCTAAGTATTCATATCTATTTGTTCAAATGTTGAAATGGGAGTACTTACCTACTTGGTTTAGCCATAATCTACCATATAGATCCTGTTCTTAATCTTGCCAATACCTCCCCCCAGGTATTCCCATCAAGTTTAGCCCCCACTATTATCATCTTCAATTTATTTCAAACACTCATTATGAAGATGGCTTCCTGACACACCACTTGCTGCCAACTGACAAGAGGTTTATAATTGGAAGGATCAAATTTATTTCCTTCCTTATGAATAAGAAAAAAAATCTTGCTTTATATACCAATTGTCTGATATTGATCTGGTTTTATTAATCTAAGTAAGGACGGCAGCCAGAAAAGGAGCCACCAGTCAGCATTAGCTTTAATTAATTTGGGCAGACTTGAAGACTTTCCAGGATTTAGTTGCTATGCAAGCTCTTAGTTTCCAGAATGGAACCGGGGACCTATTCTGAGAAAAAAAGGATGGTGCCCTCTTCTGGTTTTGATAAAAAGACTTTTATATTATCAAAGATCTTTGAAAATGGACAAACATATTAGACTGCGGTGATTAGGTGACATAGAAACCAGTTACCATGAATATTTTCTCATGCTTAAGCTAAAAATTTCAGTCTTTGCTTCAGTATTATGCTTCCTATAAGCAATTAAAAGGCTTATATTTTTAAGTGGAAAAAGGAATCTATGAAAAGTGGATGGATGGATGAATTTATATTGTCTGTATAGAACTAAAAAATCAGATTCCACAATCTGGGGGAAAATGAATAAAAGAATGAATGAATTTATTTACTTATTTGACTATATAGAATTAAAATAATATGTTCCAAAATCATTTGTGCAATCCTCATTACAGATCAGGTTAAATCACTAGCCCTTTTGATATTAAAAATGAAGATTTACAGTGCCATACTTCAGTTCTAATTTGAAGTGAATTGTTAAATTTAATATGAGTTTGGACGTACTGTACAACTGATGTTGGATCTGTTCACTTGGTTCAAATGACACATCAACCACTTTCCTGGAAAATTCTCTTATTTTCTTGCACTGCAGTATATAATTTGCTAATGTAACAGATAAACCAAACAGCCATTTATCCTGTTGACTTCTGCAAAGAAGTTGAGTTTTCATTCCTGATTTTTTTCCCCATGAACTTCGAGAAATCATGGAGGATGAATGAAGAAATTTTGAAGGCTTATTCTTCTAAAATCTGAGGAAGATGATAGTACTTAACATTTTTTACATACTATCACAAAGAAGGTATTCAGTGCGTACTCTCTATCAACCAATAGGGCTTGACACAAAATAATAGGTGGCAGATTCCATTTGAACAATCCAACAATCCAGCTAGAGATTGTTATCGTTACTGGATGCATTGACTGGGGAGTCATCTATCAGAGATGTTTTCATTGGATCCTCTTTCAATTTGCTTTCTATGCCACACATTTCTCCATTTCATTTATACTTTTCCTCTGTATATTATTTAAATAAACCATGACCTGTGACCCCTTAGTTTTTAGGTCATTGCATCTGCATCTTGATGTAGCACTAGTCCTTTAAAATATTTTCCCCAAAAAAGCTTTTTATTCAATTATAGGCAAAGCTGGAGAAAACAAATTTCTGCTGCAATCAAATCTCAGATTGCCTGAACTAATTTCAGAGGATCATTTTTCACTGCCAAGAAAGCACCATTATGGGCAAAACTGCATCCTAGCCAAAGCTGTTTCATGGTACTTATGATGGATTATAATCCTACTTATGTAGGGCAGCATGAAAAATGTTTTCATTAAATCTTATAGGAACCCATTTATAACTTTGCTGCTATAAATATGCTTATTACCTTAAACTATCATCCTAATCTGGGACTTGCTCTCCTCACAGCAACTTCAATTAACAAAATATACTAAATAGCTTAGTAAGGGAAATTTGTTCCATTTTCTTTAACACAATGATATAATCTAAGACCATCACATGAAGCACTCATGACGCTTAATCATTTTGCCTATTTCTTTAAAATGTTCTTAGTTTATTTATTGGGCATCATTGCCTCTTTTAATAGCCTAAAATGTATAACGAACAAGATGGTTACTATTTCCAAGCAGCTGTTCTGAGATATTTATATATAAGCAGTATGCAATTTGAACCTTAGTCAAATTCTTTCTATGATCCAAGTGCCAAAATATGTTATATTGCAAAACACTTACTTTTTTTCTACAAATCTATCAATCATTAACTTACATTAGGTTTTATTTTTGCATCTTAGAAATTCTATTCCAGATAATTTGAATATCAATAGCCAATTTCTTGAGATAAGATATCCAACTCTTGTCACAGGACAGTAAGCTAATAACAGTGACTGATTTTCATCATCTGCATTTAATATGCCTGTTTGCCATTTTTGGAGGAGAGGGCTCTTGTCAATCACACTTCATAAACTCTTTAATTCAAGAGTTTCACTTTGTGTGTTGTGATTAATTTTGGAAGGTTGCACAGAGAAAGCTGAAGTTGGATACCATGTTCTTGCTGTACCTGAACAAGTCACTTACGTGTTCTATTCACTTACTGATTCTTTTGATTATTGCAGGCCCTATATTTTGAAGATCTATCAAGCCTGCTGCTGTCTATTTCACTCACTCCATCTTTTCTTCCCCTATTTTTCTTTTTTATTCTCTCCCCATTATAGGCCCTAGGTTCTGGCAGTGTTATCCAGCCCGGGTGCTCTTACTTTTTCCTTCCTGAATCTGCCTCCTCTTGTTTTTCCTCCATTGGCTTAAACTACAGGGCTGAAAGTGATTAGGGTAGCAGGAAGAGAAAGGAACTAAGTTGGAAGTTCAGGACTTTGAGATTTTATAGTGTCAGTTCCACAAGACTAGGGATAATATAAAAATACAGATACAGTAATCTAAACCAGACATGTCAAACACAAGGCCCGGGGGCCGGATGCGGCCTGCGAAGTGATTTCATGTGGCCTGCTAAGCCATCCTGGAAACAGTGAGGGAACAGTCCCTGTTGCCTTGGCCCTGGCCCAGGCCAGCTGGGAGCCAATGTACAATTTTGTGGTGGCCATCTATGCTGAAACGCATTCAG